GTGTGTTCGTTCGTACGTCTGGCGCGCGGAGGGTAGTAGTGTGCTGAGTGCTGTCAGTTGTACCTTAGCGTGCCATGTGCTGAGAGCCGAAGTGTGCGAGCTCCCGAGTCGCGCCGTGAGATCCTAGTGCCGAAGGTGTGTTCCGTGTTCCCAAAGTGCTGCGTGGCTTCAGGACGTGCTGGAAAGGTCTTTTGAAATCCTTTTAAGATCCCGAGGAATGTGGGCTGGAAACCACTGACAGGCAGAAGTGAGAGAGAGAGAGAAAGAGAAAGAGAGAGAGTTCTCAGTGATGATAGAAAAAAAATGGTGATCGGCGAGGGAGAAGGAACGCCGTGGCCATTCACGAGTGTGGCGAGACTCGTTAGTGAAGGAATGCGAAGACATCGACGTGTAATTTGCGTTTCTCGGGGCAATGGGGGAAGGCGGGCGGCTGTAACCAGACCTGGGGAGGGGAAGGGATTAGCTTTTGGGACAGAGTACACTGGGTCGGGTTTCCACGTCCACAAAAACACACAACCGGGGAGGCCTGCGCTCGTGGAAGGGCGTGTAGGATGCGTGTGTTCTTGGGGGGGCGAGGGGGAGGGCGTGAATAAGTGAGTGACTGCGTAAGAGAGGGAGAGAGAGAGGGGGGGGGAAGAGAGCCAGAAATGCAGGAATATAGAGTGAGGAAGAGGAGGAGGTTGGAAAACGAGCGGAATATGCATGTTTTTGTGTGCGTGTGTGATTTTTTTTTTTCTTTCTTGCAATATTCGTGCTCGAAACTTCATGCATATCAATGAACGTGCATCTGCGTGATAGGAAGGAGTCACAACCATCCCATTACAGACGCTGCCACGTTACTTAACAGCGCTTGTGAGGGTCAAGCTAAGATGTATACAGACACGCAGACATGCATGTGCGCAAGAGAAAAAAATGTTTCGAAGTTGGTTGGAGTTTTGGACATCTTGCCTTGGTGGTTTGCAGGGCATGTGAAATATAGGTGATGAACTTTTTCAGCTTTTCTCTGTTTTCTCTTTCTCTCTCTCTGTCTGTCTCTCTGTCTCTCTCTGTCTGTCTGTCCTGTCTCTCTCTCTCTCTCTCTCTCTCTCTCTCTCTCTCTCTCTCTCTCTCTCTCTCTCTCTCTCCTCTCTCTCTCTCTCTCTCTCTCTCTCTCTCCCTCCCTCCCTCCCTCTCTCCCTCTCTCCTCTCCTCTCCCTCTCCCTCTCTCCCTCTCCCTCTCCTCTCCCTCCTATCTTTCCCTCCCTCCCTTCGTTCCTCCCTGTCCCTCTTTCTTCTCTTCTCTCCTCCCCTTCCCTACCCTTTCTTCTCCTCCCCATCCCCCCCCCCCTCTCTCTCTTTTATAGGCTCGCGAAATCTCTCGCTCTCACGCTCAGGCCCCGAGTGTCCCCCGAGGGCCCGGGGATGTGGGTCCGCCCGGGGCCCGTCAACGTAGGCGTCAGGTGCAGGTATTAGCACCCGCCCATTGAGTTCCCTGGAGGACACTCTGGGGACACCGAGGTCGGGCGGGCGGGCGAGGGGGCGAGGGGGAGGGGGGGAGGGGGGGGTGGGGCGGCGGGGTCTTTGTGCAATTATCGGTCGGGTCTTTTCCGCGCTCTCGAGCTTCCCGGGGCTTCGTCGGCGCTTCCCTCGGGTGGTCGTCGGGGTGGAGGAGGGAGGGCCCGGGGTTTGGCGTCCTTCGGGTTTGTAGGAATCTTGGGATTTTTTTTTCTATTTATTCATTCGGTTCTACTCCGTTTGATGTGGTTTTTCATTTTGTACTTTCTTGAGCGTTTGAGTAGGGAGGGGTGGTGGGGGGAAGGGGGGAGGGGTGAATAGAGGGAGGGTAGGGGGGTGGGGGGAGGGGGGAACTCAGGTTAATGACCCGGGATGATAGAATGGGGTCTTAGTTATGCCTTGATGATGATTTTCCTCTCCTTTCGGGGTTTCTGGGGTCGTTCGTTCTTGTTTATTTGAACGGCGTGTTTTGCTTACTCTTTTTTGATTATTTGTTTTTTGTTTTTCTTCTCTCCTTCCTTTCCTCCCCCTTCTCGTGTTCGTCATTCGCCTGTTTGGTCGGTCGCTTTACCCTCTTCCTGCTTGTTTTCGTCTTTCCTTCGATTTCGTTCTTATTTTCTTGGTTTTCTATTCTCTCCTGCCTTTCCTTCTACCTTTTTTCGTGTCTGTTCTTTATTCCTCTCTCTTTTCTTGTCCCGCTTCGTTTTTTTTTCTTTCCCTTCCTCCTCCCCATTCCATTCCCATCTCTCCGTCTCCTTTCTCATTATTCTCTCCTCTTCCTCTCTATTCCCCTCTCTCCCCCTTCCTCCTTCTCCATTTCTCATTTTCCTTCTAACTTCCCTCTCCTCCTGCCCTCTCCCTCGCTCTATTCTGCCTGCATACTCCACCATACTAATTTGTTTCTCATACCCCCCTCTCCCTCTCCGTGCCCCTCTCGTGCCCCTCCGCCCCTCCAATTATTGTACTAATACCCTTCCCTCCACGCCCACTCATCTCCCCCTCCCCT